AGCGCCGTCATCCTCATGTGCAGCCAGCGGACGCGCGACGCGCGCTGCGGCCAGAGCGCGCCGCTGCTGCGCAAGGAGCTGGAGCGGCACCTGCGCCCGCTGGGCTTGTACCGCGATTTGCACGACGAGCGGCCCGGCGGCGTGGGAATTTACTTCATCAGCCACGTGGGCGGGCACAAGTACTCGGCGAATGTCATGGTGTATCGGCGGCCGAATGCGTTTGGCAAGGATGACGAGCCGTTGCCGGCGGGCGTGGACGAGGCTGTTGCGGCCAAGGGAGAGGAAGAGGATGGCGAGAAGAAGGAGAAGGAGGAGGCGGAGGGGGATGTGGGTGCTGCGCAGTGCATCTGGCTGGCGAGGGTGAGGCCCGAGGACTGCGAGAATCTGGTGCGGTATACTGTTTTGAAGGGCAAGGTTGTCAAGCCTGAGAGGCAGTTGAGGGGAGGGTTTGATCGGCGGAAGGGGTTGATGAGTTGGTGAGGGTGGGTTACTTCGATACGACATTTTGCTTGCGGGAGAATTTAGACTTTATTAATATACGGACAACTGGGATCTATAAAAGGAGCTTCTCTTGCTCGAGTTGAGCGAAGTTTCATGCTAATCATCTCCAACTAGAGACTGTCTCCCCTATTCCAACATCAGCCAAAACCCTGGGTCAGTCCAACCACCATCTCAGGAGGTGAGATGACGACAACATTCTCCCCGGCACTCCATCGGAGAATCGAATCCACTGCTCTCTTCCTCCTCCGACTCAACAGCAACTTGCTTCCCCTTGGACAAAGCATCCGGCACAGGCCAATCGAAAAAGCCACTCTTCCTCGGCGCACAATCCACCGCCCTGCTACTCGCATCTTTCGCCTCCACGCCCACGCCCACGCCCACGCCGCGAGAAGCCGAAGCCGAAGGCATAGGCAAAGGCATCATCAGCGACCGGCCACCCCCCCTCGAATACAAATACCGATACCCCCTAGCCAAGGCATCGCCCCTCGCCAGCACGGCGCTCTGCTCCGCGACGCCCACGCGCATCATGCCGCCCGCAGCCTCCATCTGCCGCGAAATTTTATCAACTCTCCGCCTAGCCTCGTCCTCATCGTCCCGCAGATCGCGCAGCTCGTCGAGCTTCTTCATCCAGGCGTCCGAGCTCGTCGACGACGACAGCTTGCCGCTGCTGCCTATGCCCACGGGCGGTTCATCAGATAGGATGGCGTCGGTGGTGACGTCGGCGAGCATGTCCATCTCGTGGCACATGAAGTCGAGGGGGCTCCGGTAGAAGAGGTCCCACGTGGATCGGGCGACGAGGCCGGAGAGCTGCGTCAGGTGGGCGGTTGCTTCGTCGTGGCGCTGGCGGAGGGTGCGTTGGATGTGGCGGAGGATGTTGAGGCATGTTGAGAGGCGCTGTTCGTGGAGGAGGCGTGCTGATGATGAGGATGGCTGGTTGTCGTCGTTGACCTTAGTGGAGGAGGAGGATGGGCCTGGGGTTGGTTGAGAGGGGGAGTGTTGTTGTTGTTGCTGCTGCTGGTTCCAAGGGAAGATCTTGGTTGTCGGCATGCTGGATGATTGGTTTCGAGGAGGGAAGGGGAGGGTTTGGGTTGATGGGGGTGGGAGGGAGGATGTTGATGTTATGAGGTAGTCTTCGGGGACTTCGTTGGAGGTTGTGTCGGATATGTAGGAGGAGGAGGCTGACGATCTGGATGGAGGCGTTGTCATACTGGGCTATCTTGGGTGAGGTTGAGAGTATTCGTCCTTGACAAGTTGTGTAAGTGAGCTGTTGATTATGAGAGTACCTAGAGTAGAGTTGTCGAGCCGGAAGAAGCT